GGCCGTACCGACCATGTGTTCGTCTCTCAGGTTGTCCGCACGGAGAAAAACAGCCTGAACAACCGGTTCCTGCCGTGGGATGAGATCGAGACGGAGGCCATCCTGTCCATTGACGACGATGCTCACCTTCGCCACGACGAGATCATGTTTGGGTTCCGGTGAGTAGCCTCTGCGCGCGTAGCCTTTGGACCCAAACTGGCGGTTTTCCGCATCCAGGATCTGCTCAGGTGCAGCATGGCCTCCTGGCTAAAGCCAGGGCCGGAATTAGGACCAGCACATCCCTTCCCATGGCTTTCCAACTCCGTTTCTTGGAGGAATACTATGTGGTAATCAGTTTTATGAGTGCCAGTGGGTGGGCTGATTTCAGGTTGTCCGGGCAACCCTGATTCTCATGTTTCCTAACCTCGACTCTTCAGCTTGTGCTGTGCTCATAACATTCCCTTCATGGTTTTGGGGGTGCACGGCTTCCTAGGGTGGAAGGAAACTGGAAATCAAATCCAAGAGGCTGTTGCGTTCCATCCGTCCCGGTGCCGTTGGTAAGGCCGGGACGTTCGCAGCCGCTGCCGGGCGCGGCTGACAGTGAGCTGCTGTCCTCTGTGCTCCGTGGGACGTTGGGATGTGATGGTGGCGTCGTTTTCTGCAAAGCCTTGAAAAGACAGATGTTACACGGAAAAAGCTGGTGCTGGGTGCTCTCACTCCCGCCCCCTTTCTGCTCCAGCACCTGCGTTTTCGGTCGACTTTGCCCTGGCAAAAAGCTTCCTGGTTACGGGGCCAAGGGAGTGAGCTGCTGTCCTCTGTGCTCCGTGGGACGTTGGGATGTGATGGTGGCGTCGTTTTCTGCAAAGCCTTGAAAAGACAGATGTTACACGGAAAAAGCTGGTGCTGGGTGCTCTCACTCCCGCCCCCTTTCTGCTCCAGCACCTGCGTTTTCGGTCGACTTTGCCCTGGCAAAAAGCTTCCTGGTTACGGGGCCAAGGGAGAAAGCCGTTACGTGGGCTCCTGCTGTGGGAGGTTTCTGCAGGCTGCTCCCGCAGCTCCTACAGCTTAACCTCACTGGCTGCCAGAGAGGAGCTGGGGAGTGAGGATGGCACGAGGAGAGAGCTCTGGCGCTCGTTTGGCTGCGGCTCGTCAGCCCGCCGGGCCGGGAGCGGGGGCTGCGATGCTAATCCGAGAGCACCCGGCAGCTGGATGGGGGGCGGGAGACGGGGACCAGCTCTCTGCTCTCACCGAAACGTGTTAGCTCATGTTTGGGAGGAAGATTAAAAGGCACAAAATGCCTGGAAACCCAACAAGCTCGCTCTGAGAGATGAGAAATGAGGTGTTAAAGTCATTAAAGCAGGGGAGTAGGCGTCAGGACTCCTGGCTTCCCTTCCGTGCCCCGTTTCAGGCTCTTTATCTGGACTTGGCTGTTTTCGCCCCCCTCTTCGGTCTCCCTTTTCCTTCGCTCATCCACAGCGCCTGGCTGAGGCTTTACCTATTAGCCCTGGAGGGCATCAGCTGAAAATTATGTGCCGTGTAGTATTCTCACTCGTACCCCTGCTTAGAAACACCTTGTTCCCACAAAGCCTCCCTCTGTTAACGCATTCAGCCAAGGAGGAGACGGTGCCTCGGCGACTGAGTGAACCTCCGCCTGTAACAACTGTGTCTTGTCGAAATTTTGCTTCGGGCTGTAATTCTTCAGGGCCAAGAGCCTCTTCTTGCTCTGTTTGCTGCTCAGGAGCAAGCTGGAGGCAGGCACCCCAAGGAAACCTTTCTGAGGTTTCCCAAAACCATTCTCTGGAGAAATGCTTATTTTTCTCGCTGAGCTGGGAAGGAGAAAGTGTCAAAGTGTCACGTTCGTGGGAAAACGAGACGTGGGAGAAAGGAAAGGGGATGAGTAGTTCCAACTCTAGCTTTTCAAAACAATCCCGTTGGATTGACAGAAACCGCAGCAAACAAGTGCTTGCTGGGAGGGTGGTGCCAGGGAAGCTGCTGGCGGTGTTAATTACTCAGCTTTCATTAGCAGGTTATATCTGACTTCATTAATTTGGGTAGAGGATATAACAGTAAACACATCTTTGCTCCTTGCTGTGTCGGTAAGTGTAATGAAAGCTCAGGGCCCTCAGAAACTCGGTCTCTTCAACAGCCTGCGATTGCCCTGCAGCCACCGCTTCTGTCACTCTCCGTGGGAACAGGGGTTGTGGGAGGGACTCGCATCCACACGAGGAAGAAAACCCAAAAGGCCACTTTCTGCTCTGTTTTGTGCCTGTAAAGAAGGGGAAAACCCTTCTGTGTCCAACAGGCCCGTGCCTGGGACTTGGTGTTTTGTAGCCTGGAGTCGCTGGGTTTGGAGATGTAGCTTGGACGCTAACCCTGAGGGAGATGGGATCGGATGATCCGAAGGAATCCAGCACCCCTGCCAGTGGAAGCTGGATTTATCTCCCAGGTTAGGGATCAGGCACTGACTTTGTTCTTAATTATTCCTGCCAGTGTTGCAGCTATCCTGTGGGGTTTCTCTCGAGGAGAGTGAGCTTCAGGGGAGAGCAGAATATTAAGCGAGGCCACACTCTCACAGCAAACCAGAGGATCTCGTTCCCTACAGCTCGACTGCGAGGCTGTGTTAGGGCGAAGGATGTGCTTATGGCCCCAGAGGTTTTTGCCATATGGACAGAGCCCAGGAAGCCACCAGGTGCTGGTTTGGGATGAGAAGCTGGGAGTTTGGCACTCCAGATCTTCCGACTGGAGACACCAGGGTCTCAGCAGCTTTCCTAAAGGGAAGTTGATGTTAGCTTGACTTTATGGAGGAGGAAACTGAGCTTCTGGGAGATGGAAAGTCCCAGGGATTTGGGGGAAGAGGCCAGAAGATGCTGGTTTCCTCCCAGGCCAAGCCTTGGCTGCTCTGGACTTTCCATGGAGGAGAAACAAGAGAGAAGCAGTGCTGGCGTATGTGTCATGCAGTGATGTCCCCGCATGGGCTGCGGGAAGCTGGTGGCAAATGGAAGAGTTTCCCATCTCACTGGCTTTCCCTGCCCATTTCTCTGCCCTTCCATCCAAGGTCTTAAGTTTTCTGTTCTCTGTTTAACTCAGACACTGAGTTTGGGCCTCTGGGCTTTTTTGCTAAGTTGCCTTTTAAACCTACAGAACATCCCTTATGAGTTAGAAAATCCCTGAGTTATGAGTCAGGAGCACTTTCCCTGTGAACAAGCAACTCAAACGTGCCTCTAGGAGAGGACCAAGGTGAGAAGCTCAGAGTTATACCAGGTAATGTTGGTCTGTGCTCACAGCCCGTGCTTGGGAGAGTTGGCCGAGGGATGCTTCAGTTCACGCCCAACAGCTTTTCACCTTTAACAACAGCAGGTCAACAAATTCTGTCTGTCCATTAAAGCCAAGATTTCTGCATTCAGCCCTTTTCCTGCAGTGCAATAGGAAAAGAATCAGAGTTATCTCGGGGAGAGACCCCGTTCGCACGTCGGGCAGCTGTGGTGGCCGGTCAGTCCGTCCTACTGACAGCAGAGCTTCGGTGCTGTGGATGTGAGCGAGCTCGTGCTGAACAGCCTACGTGAAAAGATGTCTTTTGCATGCTGGAATTTTCTGTATGTTGATTTAAAAAAAATTAAATGGACTTTAAAGCAAGGTAATTGCACTTTTTAACAGTGTTTAGCCTTTTTGGCCAAACTACAACGTATGTTGGCCGGTCTTTGGACGAGCCGTTGCCAAACTCTTTTATGGATAGGCATCTCCTTCGCTCGCAGCCCCCCCTGGGAGCCGGCCCGTGGCATCGAGGGCATAGTTCTGTGTGTGGTGGTTCTCAGCCAGAGCTCTCTCCGGGTGGGCGTCTCACTGAAAGGCTTTGTGTTCGCAGTGTCTGGAGAGAGGCAAGGGACCGCATCGTTGGCTTCCCGGGGCGCTACCACGCGTGGGACATCCCCCATCAGTCCTGGCTCTACAACTCCAACTACTCCTGCGAGCTCTCTATGGTGCTCACTGGTGCTGCCTTCTTCCACAAGGTGAGATGCCATGGCCACAAAACCCTGAGCTTTCCCTTCCTTCTCAGACTAAACCAGCCTGTATGTTTCTGGGGTTGTATTTTTTTTTTTTAAAGAACGCGTTTTGGAGCTCACCACTCTTTTTCCCTCGCTTCCTCCAAACTGAAACGCGGCCAGCAACTGGTCTGTGTCCCAGCGAGCGGTCTCCTCGAGGGGCAGTGAATGTTTGTGCCGTGTGAGAAGCACCCTGGCACCGAAGCAGGTGGATGGAGCGCGGGGCCGAGCGCATTTCAGCGATGCCCTTGGTCGTGGCGAGGGCAGGGCAGGCCGTGGGATTGCGGCTTTACTGTAGCATCTTGAACCTTACAGCCTCCAAGCCTTGCAGGGGGTAGTTTGCGGGGAAGTCGTGGGTTTCGGCAGCTGCGTGGTGGCCCGGGCTGGCTGGTAGGTGTGGGAGGTGGCTGGTTTGTGTGGGAAGGGAGCAGCGAGAAAGTGGGTCCGTGATGTGCCCCTCTCTGCATGGGAGAGACAGGCTTTGAGAAAAGGGTGGGCTGATTTCCCAAGGGGACTGTCCCGAGCTGTCGTATCGCGGTGGGAAGGTAACCCACCAGCTCCTGCTGCCGTGCTGACTCTGCAGCGGCAAAGGCAGCAAGCTCTGAGGGGGCCGAAACCATCCTTCCTCGATTTCTGAAGTGAAGGAGCGCTGGGACTCGGTCAGGGTGACGGCTGTGGGGTAGATTTGCTGCTGCTCTGGCTACAGCAGACCTCCTGGGTGCAGGATGAGCTCCGTTCTGGGGAGCCCCTCCGCTGGCACCCTTGAGCTCTCTGCTTGGGACCATCGTGAGCAACGCTGCACCTTTCTGTCCTTCCCAGTACTACGCCTACCTGTACTCCTACGTGATGCCGCAAGCCATCCGCGACATGGTGGATGAATACATCAACTGCGAGGACATCGCCATGAACTTCCTGGTCTCTCACCTGACGAGAAAACCTCCCATAAAGGTAAATCACAGAATCGTAGAAGCACCGGGCAGAAGCTTGTGCTGGGCTTTGTCTTTCTGGAGAAACTGGTTTGGTCGATGTCTTTGAAAGGCAAGCGGTGTGTTAGGAGGCTGCTCTGCTCCGGGGGACATCCCGTTGCCTTTCCCTCAGCACAGAAGCTGTGCCGTGCAGCACGTGCTGCCCTTACCGAAAATCTGGCTGCGGCGCGTCTCTGAAGCGCTGTGCTGGGAGCTGGGGGGGGCTCGAGCTGTCAGCACGACCCCGCTCCGGCCTCGAGGAGAGCTGGTGGCCGGTCACAAGGGGTGTCCCCCAGGGCTCAGTGGTGGGACCGGGCTTGTTTAACGTCTTTATCGATGATCTGGGTGAGGGGATCAA